TATATATATATATATATACATACATCTTGTGCTATTTTTCATCTATGACTTGGATTTAATGTATTGTTTAACATCTATTTGTTTCACAACGTATTTATTTCATATGTATTCGTTTCACAATATAAAATTTTTTAGTTGTACTTTTTTTTTTTCACAAACACAAAAATAGTGTTCACATTGTGAAATGGATATATGAGAAACAAAATACATTGTGAAACAAATATATATATTAATCAATACCCTAATTCATGCCATAGACAAAAAAAGAATAATGTGAAATAGCAAATGATGCATCAGTTTTCAAGGTTATCACAATTTTACGGGTTCTCAAAAGAAGACCCCCCCACACACACATATATGTGTGTGTGTTTGTGTTTTCTCCCAAGTGGGCTTTGAGCCAGGGACTGGTTTGAGACCAGATTGGTTATAATTTTTTTTAAAGAACTAGTTACAAGGGAGCTAGCAAAGGACCGATTATCAATACCCAGTTACGTTTTTTTTGTCTTATTAATAAGAACCGGTTGTCGCACATCCTTCAATGACCCCATGATTTGCCTCCCACCAAAACTCAAAGACAGAAGAGGGTATAATGTAGTTGATATTCTACCACTTAAAAGATGCAATTCCAAAGCGATGAGAAGACCATACAACCGAGTAAACAATAACCCACGATTCAACACGATCCCTACAAAATGGACACAACACTGAATCAAGATCGATTTCTCTTTTATTAACCTTATGAAGAACCGGTAATTCATTACGAAGAGCCTTCGAGACTAAGATATTCACTTTCCTAGGAACTAGCTTGTTCCATAACGTGGCTTTATCATCAGGAGAAGATTGCAGAAAGTAACCATCCACTATATGCCGAAGAGATGAAGTCGTGAAAGATCCTTTCGAAGTAAGGAACCAACGAGCAGAATCCTAAACCAGAGACCTTAGGCGGAACATTCTGCAACAAGGAAATTAAGTCAAAAAAATCTCATGAAGCCCTTCCTTGAGGAGGACGAATCCAATTCCACATCCACAACCCCTTAATTCAAGTGCCATGATCTCCGGCTTTGACTTCGGGATTGCAGTCCAAACAAAAAGCCGAGAAAACCCGTCATATAATTTGAAACTACCCACCTATTTGTCAACCGAAAAAGGCGATTTTTCCGATCCCCGATAAATTTCCCAAAAGAAGAGCGGAAATTTAGCCCTAATCCATCTAAATCAATCCCTGCTTTTAAGATTCCACCCAAGTCGAACCAACTTTCTTAAGCGTAGCTCCGAAAAAATTAAAACCACCTTTCCTCCCGTATAAACATTTAATTACTCGAGCCCAAAAAGAATTTTCTTCTCCAAGAAAACACCACCACCGTAGGCTCAAATTATGGGCCTTGAGACTAGCGATATTAAGCCCTCCCCTCTTGAAGTCCTTAAAAATGTTAACCCATTTTACTAAGATGACCCATCCCAAAAAAATTATTCTCACTCTTTCAAGAATAAACGGCTGGTTTTGGTGGACAATTATGTTGTATTTTGCTTCATTATAAATGGAGGTTTGAGTTGTTGACTTATTTACACAAATCATTAACATTTTAAAGCTTAAAACAAAACAATCATCTTTTTTTTCAGAACTTAAATTCAAGTTCACGACATATGGTATGAAACCAGATCCTTCTAGTGACTGATCTTTGCGTGAAAAATATATAAAGACTTTTGTACCATAAATAAATGCTTAGAATATACATACATATACATATATATATATATATATATATGTGTGTGTGTGTGTATGTAGGAAACCTTCTTTTGAGGACCCATAAAATTGTAATAACCTTGAGAACTAATGTATCATATGCAATTTCATATGATTTTGTTTCATCTAAGACTAGGATTTAAAATATCAATTAACATATATTTGTTTCACCAATGTGTTTGCTTCACATGTACTCGATGTTGAGAAAAATAATTCCAATAAGAAAAATGAACGCAAAATAAAGATTTAAACTTATATTTTATACCGATAAAAAGGTTAAACCTTTTTGAATTCAGACCCACCAAAAAAAACCTCAATACGTGCCAATTCACACCGATTGAATCTATCCTTCTCGATAGATTCAATGAAAGAAAGGGGTAGAAGCAGAGTGTTYACTTAGTGAACGGGAAATTTAAATACAATGCGAAAATTATAAAACCAACCTGTTTAGTATTCTGTCGATTCAGATAATGAACTGCATGGAAAACCTGTTCTTAAAGGTTTTATACGACCACTCTTGTAAGCTGTGAGTCTGCTAGTCGCAAGGCACCAGGATTTGATGCAGTAGGCAATTCGTTTGTAAACAACATTCACAACGAATATAGAACAGGTTTATGCAGCAAAACGGTAAAGAGAAATAGGTGTCGGGAGCAAAATTCGTCAGAGAAGAAAACCAATATTTTGTGTGTGTATAATGATACGGCTTCACCCATTATTTATATTGGGTGAAACCCTAGATGAGGCCCATTATTATCTCCAAAAAATCGGAGATAGTGGTGAGAAAAATCCTCAACGGAACCACTATCTCTAAAGAAAATAAGACTCAGTAAAAAAAAAAAAAAATTCCGGATTTATCTTTAATAAAAATCAATTTAAATTCCGGATTTATCTTTAATAAATATCAGTTTAAATTTCTCCTCTCGAATTTGTACCAAAAAGATACTCGGAGCTCGGGGCGATGCTCCATCTGCTCCGATGGGGCGTGCGAAGTGTAAAGTGCGCCTCCTCGCGCCACTTTCGCGAATCCCGCGTCCTCGGCCTCGGCCTCGACCACGCGCGCACGTGTGTGTTGGGCCTTCCACTCAAGACCCCAACCATGAGTCCACTAACATGTTCAAAGCCCACTTATAGAGAAAGCCTTATAAGTTTCTCTAGAAATCAAGTCTCTACCAATGTGGAATGGAAGGTGAACTTCCAACCTACAAATTTCCAACAATCCCCCACCAGGTTGGAAAGTTTTCTGACATTCATGGTAGACAATGTTACAGTGGTGTCACTAAGATTAAACCCTGTTTAATGTAAGTATGCAAGAAGGGATCAATCCAATGGTATCCTTAGGATTTAAACCTTGAATCTTGCGACCACTTCGGCTTACCTACACACATCATCTATCCACCTTGCTCTCTCACTGGGCGCTAATATGGCCATGCGCTAAACCCTGTTTCATGACTTACTCAAAGAGAAACCACTACTCTTCTTTTGAGGCGGCACCACCTCTAAGTCATATAGGCAAAGTTCTATAACATATTCGTTGTTAAGATGCCTCTAAACTTTGTTAAGAGATTAACTCATCCTTGTTCTCGACAACGCCGTACTATCTTTCACCTTACATGGATCTGTCATTTGATAGTACCTTCTATCAGTCAAGTGACTTGTTGTTACCCTTTAAACTTGGTAGATAGGAGCATTATATCCAAGTTGGGTTTCCATCACTGACTGATTCTATGTGGCTTCAGACCCATGTCTCTGGTGGTTGACCCTACCAAGTTTCTCATCAGAGGCTTGGTTAGTGGATATGCCAAGTTCCTACAAGACTTGACAAACACAATACTTATGGTACCATCATCAATTAGTTGTATCACGTAGTTGTGTCGGAGACCTATGTGTCGCGACTTCCCATTATATACATCATTGTATACTTTGGACAGTGTGGCCTCACTGTCACAATACATGGGAATAGAAGGAGTCGGTCGAGGCCATAAATGGATATCTGTCAACAAATCTCTAATCCATTCAGCCTCTTTGCCCACTACCGCTAGGGCAATGAATTCGGCTTCCATAGTCGAATGGGCGATACATGTTTGTTTCTTGCTCGCCCAAGAAATCGCCCATCCAGCAAGAGTATAAATCCACCCACTTGTGGGTTTAGAATCACTTGAGTGATCTATCCAACTAGCGTCGGAATATCCCTCCAAGATTCCTGGATGCGTAGAGTATGTCAACTCTAGTTCTTGGGTTCTTTTTAAGTAGCCCAATACTTTGCTAATTGCCTTCCAGTGATCTGAACCAGGATTGCTTGTATATTGACTCAGTCTACTCACAACAAAAGCAATATCCGGTCTAGTGCAATGCATTGCATACATCATGCATCCTATTGCACTAGCATATTCTAGTTGAGCCACTGCTCTACCAGTATTCTTATTAAGTTTCAAACTTGAATCAAACAGAGTGTTAAACTCTTTTATATTCAAATTTTGAAACTTTGTCAGTATCTTCTCTATGTAATGAGATTGACATAGAGAGATTTGAGATGCTGACCTTTTGATCTTTATCCCAAGGATGGTATCTACTTCTCCAAGATCTTTAATCTTAAAGTTCGAGGATAAGTACCCTTTTGTCTCAAGAATACCAACTAGATTGGTTCCGATGATCAACATATCATCGATATAAAGACAGATTACCACAATGTACCCTCTTGTGCACTTTGAGTAGATGCACCGGTCGGCCCCATTATGTCGGAACCCGAAAGATGTGATAGTCGTATCAAACCTTTCGTGCCATTTTTTAGGAGCTTGTTTTAACCCGTATAGAGATTTAACTAGTTTACACACTTTATTCTCTTGTCCGGGTATTACAAATCCTTCAGGTTGCTCCATGTAAATCTCCTCGTTTAAATAGTCATTCAAGAAAGCTGTTTTCACGTCCATTTGGTGAATATACAGTCCTTTTATGGCGAAAATTGCTATGAGAGTTCGAATGGAACTAATTCTAGCAACTGGAGCATAAGTGTCGAAATAATCGACAACCTCTTTCTGTCTATATCCTTTTGCCACCAATCTAGGCTTGAAGGATGATATTGAACCATCAGGATGCATCTTTCTTTTGAATATCCACTTGGAACCAATGGGTTTCACCCTATTGGCAAATTTGCCAACACCCAAGTTCCATTACCCAAAATGGAGTCCATCTCATCATTTATGGCTTCTTTCCACATAGGAGCATCCCTTGAAGTTATGGCCTCTTTAAATGTCTTAGGATCATCTTCAGTACTGATAGAGAAAATGAATTCTCTTGTCACTTTCTTTTGAGTCCCTTCTACCAAGTACGAGAAAAAGTCATTTCCTAGATTTTTTTCTTTTCTCACTCTTGTACTTCTTCGTGGTTCGTCCGCCTCTATAGAGGTTTTGGAACTAGCACGAGATGAACAAGAGGGATTAGAGGCCAATATTGGTTCTGATTTTTCAGCATCTTTTAAAAATCTATCTTCAAAGAACTCCACATCTCTGGATTCTACTATAACACCTGATTCTTTGTCTAATAATCCATCAGCCTTGCTATTTACTGCATATCCAACGAATATGCTCTTAATAACACGGGCTCCCAATTTAGATCTTTTTGGATCAGGAGTTCTATAGTATGCAACACATCCCCAAACCTTTAGATAGTTCAGATTTGGTTTTCAACCTTTCCAAAGCTCATATGGACTAGTTGGAATCACACGACTAGTGATTCGGTTGTGAATATGACAAGCCGTCAACAGGGCTTCTCCCCAGAGATTGTTAGGCAACCCTGATTGGTTCAACATACAGTTGACCATTTCAACAAGGGTTTGGTTCTTTCGTTCTACCAAGCCATTTTGTTGAGGAGTAAATAGTGAGGTCCGTTCATGTTTGATACCATTCTCTTCACAGAATGTATAAAATTCTCTATTAAAATTTTCACCACCTCTGTCTGATCGAAGTATTTTTATCTGTTTTTCAAGTTGATTTTCGACTTCAGCTTTGTAGAGTTTAAAAGCCTCAAAAGCTTCATCTTTTGAATGTAACAAATAAACTTGTAAAAACCGACTGAAGTCATCACAAAAAGTTATGAAATACCTTTTACCTCCTCGGGTAAGTATTCCATTTAATTCACAAATATCAGAATGAATTACTTCTAAAATTGATGTATCCCTTTTAACAGAAAGAAAAGATTTCTTTGTAAACTTTGATTTTACACAAGTTTCACAATTTCCAAAGTCTTTGTTATCAATTTTGATTAAACCTTTGTTATGCATCTTTTCAATATTTTTCACATTTGTATGCGCAAGACGTTTATGCCATAAAGAAATAGAACAAACAGAATAATCCAAAGAAGCAAATTTATTAAAATCGTTCGGCATTACATCACTTTCAACCATAGAAACAAAAAATTTTGTATCACTATCAGACGTGGCTAACACATTACTTCCTACTGATTCACTCGTTTCGTCCTCCTCACAACCATCTTCACTCAGATTAAGGCGATACATACTCAACTGGTTGTATCCC